AAGTAAGGAGTTAGCCTTAGTATTTAATTAATTTAGAAGAGATTTTTTTAAATGTTAATTGCTAAGATTTACATTGTGATATGCCAAATTTATTATTTGTTTATAGAATAAAAAGGAATTGGTTAAAAACGTTTCTATGACCGCTGTATTTCCGGCACCCACTCACTAGAGGAATGAATTTAATCCACTATACAAGCCTTATAAAGACCATTAAGTCATGCTATTCATATTAAAATTAGGGAATTTGAAATGAGTTTCTCGGGTTTCCTTCAAATCCAAAACCCTGAATGGTGGTGGTGATACCAAAGTAATGTTGCTATTTGTTTTAGAATTGAATTTGGCAAATTGGCTGCATTAATTTAGTAGAATATATTATATTTCGTATATGAATAAATATCTTATACAACATATATATATTCTCTCCCTTCCCCTTTCCCACTCTCGTCTCTTCCTACCTCCCTTCTGCTCATCCTCTCCCCTACACCTCCTCCTCCCCCTTCAATCTTCCACATCCTTCTCTCTCTCTCTCTCTCTCTCTCTCTCTCTCTCTCTCTCTCCTCTCTCTCTCTCTCTCTCTCTCTCTCTCTCTCTCTCTCTCTCCCTCCCTCCATCTACCCCCTTCCCTCCTCTCTCCCTCCCTCCTCCTCCCTTCCTTCCCTCTGCCTCCCCTTCCCTCCCCCTCTCCCTTCCCCCTTTCCCTCTCCCTCTCCTCCCCCCTCTCCCTCTCCCCCTTCCCTTTCTCCCCCTCTACTCTCCTCTCCCTTCCTCCCCCTCTCTCCTCTCTCCCTCCTTTCCCTTGTCCTCTGTTCTTGTTTATCAGCCACCGCCCGTAAATCTGAGCCTAATCGCAGGGATCGCGCCCAAAACGGAAGGCCTGGAGAGAGACTTAAACGGATCACCCTCTCTCCTCGATCTCCTATGAATGACTGACCCGACTAACCACGAGAACAGCTGAGTAACCGGGATTAACTAGCCATTACGGGGTGCTAATTAGGGATTTAAACTACCTGCTAATCGTTACCGTGATTAATCTTTAGAATAACTGTAATTTTCTTGGCTTATGATTCATTAATCCTTAAATCAGTTTAGTGACCTGAATGACTAACGAACCATGTTATTAACTACCACTTTTTAAAAAATAACATTAGAGCAGTTAAGGAGTCGTTAAAATCATTAGCTAACCATTAACATAACTAAGAAACCATGATGGCGACAAAGCATCCATTAAAAAGATGAAGCAATTAAAAAACAACTTCATACTAGCCAATAGAGGCTTAGTCAGGAATTTGGAAATACGGCAACCACCTGTTGTGGGAAAAGGGTTAGGCTCTAAGTTATGATAGAGAGAGAGGTGGGGGGAGAGAGGGAGGGGGGAGGAAGGGCGAGCGAGGGAGAGAGAGAGAGAGAGAGATAGGGGGAGGGGAGAGAGGGCGAGAGAGAGAGAGGGAGGGGGAGGAAGGGCGAGCGAGGGAGAGAGAGAGAGAGAGGGGGAGAGGGAGGGAGGGGGAGAGAGAGAGAGAGAGAGGGAGGGAAGGCGAGCGAGCGAGAGAGAGGAGAGAGAAAGAAGAGAGGTTTATGACGCTTCTCTCTCTCATTTACTGATTTGTATATACGTGAACGGTTAACTTTTCCAACATCCATCATTAGATCAAGAATCTCATAAATTTCTAAGTGTGAGTAGCCCCCACCCCTCCCCCCCTCCGGCTATATCACTAACTTAATGTTTATTTTTTTATTCTAATAATAAGCAACATGAGTAAGCACCATAAAAGAGTTTTACAGTGTATGAAAAATATTTATGACTCAAATATAAACTTCTAGGCAGACTGTAACTGTTGAAGTGACTTAAAGACAATAAAGATGTTGAATATTAACATGTACATGACTATTAGTGTCACTAGGTTTGTGTTAATTACTTTGTTTTTAGAGAATAATAACAAGGCTGGAGAATTGATGTTTGTCGACCGTATGTTCGTAACGGTTTTTTTTTTTTTTTTGAAATTATTTACTTTTTTGTTGTTTTTTGTTATGTCCGTATGTTTTGGGGTAATTTATCGCCCTTCAGATTTACCGGTGAAATTCCTTTGTGCTTTTACACACACACACACACACACACACACACACACACACACACACACACACACACACACACACACACACCACACAACACCACCACAAAACCCACCTATCTTCATCTTCAACAGCGGCAAACTTAAAATGGCGCGAATTTACAAGCAAAAAAAAAAAAGAAAGAAAAATGATATAATGATAATAGACAAGTATAAACACATTTTCATAGTGTGGTTTCTTTTTAATTTACCTGTTTTGTTTACGTTTGAGTTTTGTTGACTCTCCCACCTCGAGGTTCCAGAAAGGGGAAAGGCGAGATCAGTAGCAACGCGAAGGTGTCATGGCGTCTGATTCTATTTTTGGAAAAAAAAAAAAAAAAAAAAAAACATGGGGTTTATATTGATGACGTCACAAAAGTCGATCATTTTGGTCTCTTCAATTTTCAAAAAGGATTTAAAATAATTATTTTAAAGGCTATATTTTCATCGAACAATCACCAAAACAGACGCCATGACACCTCGAGTAACACCTACCTCCTCGAGTTGCTACTGATCTAGCCTTTCTCGCGCCAGAAACTCACAATGTTTACCCGAGACACAGAATCGTTGCTTCGAAACCGCTTCACTTTCCAGCAACCAGAGAGGATGCGAGGAAAATATATTTATATATATGTATATAAATACTTTTTTCAGGGTGTCGAGAGAAAAAAAAAACGAAAAATCCACCCACCGTGAGACAGAACGAGGCGGTGTTGCTGTTAGAATAAATATTTTACAGCTCGCTCTCACCTCGTAGACAAGATGGCCGGTTCGACTCCCTTTTCAGCCTCGAGTCCGCAGTAACGTCTCGTATAGAGGGCGCTGAGCCGGGGGAATTGGGGGATTTTGAATTCATCAACCGTTGTCTTTGCGTTTGTTTGTTTGTTTTGTTTTGTGTTTGTTTTTTAGGAAAAAAGGGGTGAGCTTTTGTTTTTGTTTTTTCGTTTTTTTCATTGTTTTTGCGTTTGTTTGTTTTGTGTTTTTTTTTGTTTTATTTTAGGAAAAAGGGGTGAGCTTTGTTTTTGTTTTGTTTTGTTTTTTCGTTCTCTTTTCCAGATGAAGTTTTTATTCTTTTCTTTCTTTTTTCTTTGTCTCTCCCTCACTCCTACCTCTTCTCCCCCCCCCAACCCTACCCTCAAACCCCCCCTCCCCTATTTTGTCGATGACCTTCCACTGTGAACGACTGAGCATCCGGGTCGGTCATGAAATGCAGAACTCCATTGTCACCGTGTCATGCATTGTGTCATCCCATGACGCTCTAGGATGTCAAACCACATTGTTTTCCCTCTACGTTTTTTATTTGTTATTTTTTATTATTTTTTGTTTTTATTTTTTACTTATTTTTTTCTTATTTTTATTTATTTATTTTTTTTGTGTGTGTGTGTTTTCTTTCTTTCTGACTTTTCTTTCTTTCTTTCTTTTGGTTTATATATATATGTATATATATTTATAATAATTTCTTCTTTTTTTTTCTTTTTTAATGACATTTTACTGTCTCGTTTACGCTGGGGTCGGCGGCGCCTCTCGTACCCTCGTAAGCAGATTTTGATGACAAGAGCAAGGGAATCTCGCCCTAATTGGTCTTCTGTCTTACGTAAACAAATGTAATGCGGTGATCAGACTCTCATTTCGAGGGGGGGGGGGGGGATTGGGAGTGGGGGGGGGGGGGGCAAGGGGCTAGACTTTTAAGCAGATTTTCCTCAATGTCTAATTTGTTTTCTGTCTCTTTTATTTTGTTCTTCTTTCTTTCTTTCTTTCTGATTTTTTTGCCATTTTACTTGCCTTTTTATCTGTTTGTCTTCTCTGTTTTTCTTTCTGTATTTCTCTTTCTTTCTTTCTTTTTTTACTTGCCCCTTTTATTTATCTAATTTTCAACATCTTTCTATCAACCATCAACCAGGTAAAAATCTCAATAGATATACCTGTTTATACCTTTTTCTTACCATTTTTATCTATCGATTATTATTATTACCCTCTCTCCATCTTCTACCCGGGTAAAAAGACCCTCTTTTATTTTAGTTTTGTACTTATTCTTATCTTTATCTTATCTACCGATTTTTTACATCTATTTCCATCTACTATTCAGGTAAAAAGATTATCCGTTATTCTGGTATTATACTTATTCTTACCTCTATCTTATCTATCGATTTTTACATCTATTTCCATTTAGTATTCGGGTAAAAATAACCTGTTATTTTATACTTATTCTTACCTTGTCTTATCTACCGATTTTTACCCTTTCTCCATCTACTACTGTTATTCTAGTATTACATTTATTCTTACATTTGTCCTATCTATCGGTTTTTACATCTATTTCCATCTCCTTCCTGGGTAAATAGATCCTGTTATTCTAGCATTATACTTATTCTTACCTCTATCTTATCTACCGGTTATTACATCTATTTCCATCTACTAACCGGGTAAAAAGATCCTTTGTTCTATGTTTAATTCTTACCTTTGTCTCATATATTTTATATCTATTTCCATCTACTAAAAAGATCTCTGTTATTCATTATACTTTTTTTATTTTGTCTTATCTATCGATTTTTTTACCCTTTGTCTGTCTACTAACCGGGTGAAAAGATCCTCTGTTATTCTATAATTATTCTTCCTTCTGTCTTATCTACCGATTTTTAACCCTTTCTCCATCTACTACGAAAGATCCTCCATTATTCTACCATTAGACTTATTCTTACATCTGTCTTATCTACCGATTCTTTACATCTATTTCCATCTACTTCCCGGGTAAAAAGATCCTCCTTTATTCTACCATTATACCTATTCTTACCTTTGTCTTATCTACCGATTATTACATCTATTTCCATCTACCATCTTCCGTTAAAATATTCTCGCGACGTCTCTACGAAGGACCTGGACGTCGACGATGCTCACCAGCCTCTTCTTCCTTCCGAGATGCAGCCTCCGGGGTCATCTCAGAGGTCCTGTGATTTTTTTTTTTTTTTTTTTTTTTAGTTTTGTCTTTTTTTTCGTGGAATGTTATGGAATGATTTAGTTATTCTGTGTCTCTCTTTTCTTCTGTAATTTTTAGTTTTTTTTTTTATGGAATGATTTAGTTATTCTGTGTCTCTCTTTTCTTCTGTATCAGTTTTTTTATGGAATGTTATACGTATTCTGTGTCTCTCTTTTCTTCTGTAATTTATTTTCCTTTATCAGTGGGAGTCATCTCAGAGGTCCTGTGTTTTTTTTGTTTTTTTTTTAGTTTGGTCTTTTTTTCGTGGAATGATTAGTTATTCTGTGTCTCTCTTTCTTCTGTAATTTATTTTCTGTTATTGGTGGTTTGTCGTATCCGTTTTTTTCAGGGTTTCTTATTCTCTTTTTCTTGTTTTTCTTCTTATTCTTTTTGTTCTCCTCTTCTTCTTCCTTCTTCTCTCCTCTGCCCTCTTCCTTCTGCCTTCTTCTCTTCTCGCTCCTCCTCCGATCGCGCCTCTCCTCTCCACCTCTTTCTCCTCGTTCCTCTCTCCTCCTCCGACTCTTCTTCCTTGTCTCCTTCCTTTCTTCCCTCCTCCCCTTCCTCTCTTCCTCCTCCACCACCCTCCCCCTCCTCCCTTTCCTCATGCATCATCATCTCTCCCCTCTCTTCCTCCTCTTCCTTTCCTCCTCCTCCTCCAACACCGACCCCCTCCATCCTCCCCCCTCCCCATCTCGCCCCCCTCACCCCCCCCCCCAAGATTTCCTCCCCCAGGGTCTGCCGCGATCCTGGAGCCCCGAGCGCGCCCGAGAAGGCAGGAGGAGACACAATAGCCGGAGCCCCTTTTTTGAGTTGATTTTCCGGGGAGCTATTTCGGGCAGTTTTTTTTGTTTTTTTTATTATATTTTTGTTTTTTTTTTTTTTTTTTTTTTTTTTTTTTTTTTTTTTTTTTTTTTTTTTTTTGGGGGGGGGGGAAGGATGGGGGAGGGAGGGGTGTTATAGGAGGAGGAAAGGGGGGGGGTAAGGCGAAGAAGAGGAGGGAGAGAGATGAGAGGAAGGGTTAAGGGGCGAAGGAGAAGAGGGAAAGGAAATGAGAGGGGAAGAGAGGAATGAATGAGAGAGAGAGAGAGGGGAAGAGAGGGAATGAATGAGAGAGAGAGAGAGAGGGGAAGAGAGGGGAATGAATGAATGAGAGAGAGAGGGAGGACGGTGCGCCCATCTCGGCCGGAGGAAGGAGACTGCGCTTTCTTGCAAGATGCTAAGGAGTTTTGTCTTGACTTCCTTTCTCGTTTGTTTGTTTGTTTTTGTTTTGTTTTATTGTCCTGGCTTTTCTGTTTAGAATGAAGGTCTCGCTTTGTCTGTTATTGTTGTTGTTATCATGTTATTATTAATAATTGTTATTATTATTATTATAATTATTATTAATATTATTATTAATTATTATTATTATCATTATTATCTTCATTATTATCATTATTATTATTATCATTATTATATTATTATTATTATTATTATTATTATTATTAATGCTACCATTACTACTTTTATTGTTATAATTATCAGTAGTAGTGTTTGTGTTATTATTAGTGTTTTTGTTATTATCATCATCCTCATTATAATTATTGCTATTAGTGTACAATAATAAAGTACTTCAATAATTAGTATCATCATCATCATCATATCATCATCATCGTCATCGTCATCATCATCGTCATCGTCATCGTCATCGTCATCACCATCATCAATCACCATCACATCATCACCATCATCATCATCATCCATCATCATCATCATCATCATCATCATCATCACCACCATCATCATCATATCACCATCATCCATCAATCACCATCACCATCATCATCACCATCATCATCATCATCATAATCATCAATCATCATCATCACCATCATCATCATCAATCATCATCACCATCATTATCATCACCATCATCATCACTATGCCAACGGTATTATCAGTAATGTTTCTATGAGAAGTGTTCATAACTATTACTGCGTGTAAGTGTAAATGTGTATGCAACATACGTAAGAAAATAATTAATCGAATCATCCTTTATTTCTTATTAAATTCAGAATATAAGAACAAAAGAAAGTACAGATGAAATATAGAAAAATAGAAATGAGAGTGAGAGAGAGAGGAGAGAAGTGAAGAGAAGAGAGAAGAGAGAGAGAGAGAGAGAAAGAAGAGAAAGAGAAAGAGAGAGAGAGAGAGAGAAAGAGAGAGAGGAAGGCAGGCAGGGAGAGAGAGGGGAAGAGAGAAAGAAAGAAAGAAAGAGAGAGAGAGAGAAAGAGAAAAATAGACCATTAGGCAGTCCTATTTAGAAACCTGAAATAAATATTTGCATAAAAATACCGTTTCATTATGCCCGAATATCTTCTCTTAATATCAGTCTGTATTTGTCGACTGAAAGTTTAATACAGAACCATTTTCAATATGAAAGCAAAAAAATAGGTCTGCTTTAACTATCAAGGTTTAAGTTTAGGAGTCAATAACATATAAAAAAGAATTATATATATAAATATTCTTTTGATAATGTACCATAAAGGTGAAAGAAAAAAAAGAGAAGAAAGTAAGAAAAAATTGTATATATATACATTCATATGAACTTAGAAATAAAAAAAGAAAAAAACAAGAAAAAATTGTATATATAATGCATTCATATGAACATAGAAATAAAAAAGAAAAACAAGAAAAAAATTATTATATATATATATATAATATATATATATATATATATATATATATATAATATCATTATATATATATACATTCATATGAACATAGAAAAAAAGAAAAAAAAAGAAAAATATGTATATATATACATTTCATATGAACATAGAAATTAAAAAAAAAAAAAAAATATATATATTACAATCATATAAAGTGAAAGCAAAAAAAAATTATATATTACATTCATAGTCTAGCCCTTGTACCTAAACGGAAACTACAACAAAGTTATTAACATACGAACCAAGAGTGTCGCATATGATAAGAGAAAATGTAATTGTCTTCTTGGAAATAGTTTTAGCAAAGTGTTAAAGCAGACAGCATACTTTTTTTTCTTTTTTTCTTTTTTTCTTTTTTTTTGTTATTTTTTATCGCGTCTTACCCAAAGTACTCTTTATATGAGTATTTTGTTATTCTTAACAAAGCATATTGGTATATTTCTGTGACCCCCCATAAAAGAAAATAATTACGAAATAATGATAATGAAAATATAATAATAATAATAACAATAATAATGAAGATAATAATGGATACATGAATAATGAATATAACAATGATTAATAAAATAGTGGATGATCGATCACTAATAAAATAATATGATAATATAAGATGAATATAATAACAGAACAATAATAAAATGAATAATAAGATAAATAAATAGATGAATAAGAATCTTGAAGAGAAATCTAATTAATATCAAGTACGAATTTATTTGTCCAACTACTTAAGCTTGGTCAATATAATAATATGTAGTCGTATAGCTACGGTAGAGCACACTGGCTTTGTAATTGCAAGGTTTTGGTTCACGCCCGTATGAGACGCCCACACGATCGACTTGGCTCAGGGCGGGTGGGTGTGGGCGTCGACGTCGGGGGGGGAAAGGAATGGGCACCACACATACCATACTATATTATCATACCATTTCTATACCATCATTCTATCATGCTATGCCATTAAGGTATCGCATTATGCCACCATACATACCATTTTATGCTATCATGCTACCATTATACCATCATGACATCATACTGTACCATGTTATCATACTATGTAATCATACTGCCAAACGAAGCCACCATACTGTCATGTTAACCACCATACCGTCATACTAAGCCATCATACTGTCATGTTAACCACCATGCTATCATACTAAGCCGCACCATGATAGCACCATACTGTCATATATTCATACTAAGCCACCATACTGTCATACTAGCCACCATACTGTCATACAAGCCACCATACTAAGCCACCATAACTGTCATACTAAGCCACCATACTGTCATACTAAAGCCACATACTGTCATGTCACATACATCCCCATACTGTCATATTAAGTTACCATACTATCAGCATACCACTATGTGTGTTTCTCTGCGGACTTGTCCCTTACTTCTGCTAGGATGTATATATCTTAGAAGTGATAATAGTACTAACAATAAAATATATGTATATGGTAGTATTAATAGCAACGGTAACAGTGATTGTGATAGATTTATTGTTGATAATGATGAATAAAATATCAATATTTCGAAAGATTACCAATGTATGATAGCAGTTAATGGGGATTGCAAAACTTTTTTTTTTTTTTTTTTTTTTTTTTTTTTTTTGCTACAGTTCTTTTGCCAAAAAATAATGTCTATCTCAAGTGTTATTATTGCTATCACGAAATGGATAAGATAGCGTTTTTTACATTTTATGTCTAGTTGTCTTAATAAACATGTTATATTATCGCTTGCTATCTTTTCTTTCCATTTTTGTTATTTCTCTCTCTTTCTCTCTTTCTCTCTCTCTCACACTCTTTCTCTCTCTGTCTCTCTCTATCTCTCTCTCTCTCTCTCTCTCTCTCTCTCTCTCTCTCTCTCTCTCTCTCTCTCTCTCTCTCTCTCTCTCTCTCTCTCTCTCTCTCTCTCTCTCACTCACTCACTCACTCACTCAACACACACACACACACACACACACACACACACACACACACACCCCACACACACCACACACACACACACACACACACGACACACACACTTACACGCACACTTACACACACACACTCTTTCTCTCTCACTCTCTCTCGCTCCTTCACTCTCTTCTCTTTCACTCTCTCACATTCTCACATTCTCACACTCTCACTCAATCACTTACCCACTCACTCTCTATCTGTTTATCTGTCTATCCATCCATCTATCCATCCATCCATCTCCTTCTCTCTCGCTCTGTCATCCGGGCTCCCACGTGTACAAGCGTGTGCGTGTGGG